TCTCAAAAGTACACATGCACATATGTTTTAAAGAGTGATTGAAGGGCATTTAAAGAAATTTCAAGTGGGTTTCAAGATACAAGAGAAATAAGGTAAGGATTGTGGTTTTAGCTTGAATGATCTTTGAAAATAGGTTAATAACTATAAGAAATGTTTTCTGGCAGCAAAGATCGGCTTCATTGGAGAAGATTTGGTGACATGCAAGCTATCAAAACTATGGATGCATGGTGGATTCAAAGTGAAAGAGACGTGGTAAGCATAATATTATGTTTTAAGGCCTACGATTGGTAAAATCTTTGAGGAAATAATTTGTGAATTATGTTGGCAGCTTGAAGATTACGCAACCTTAAAGGTAAAAATGAATAATGCTTTAAGTATAGTTGAGAGATTTCGAGAATGACTATTGTTGTGTGATTGGAATTTTGAAAGGTACATTCTGAGGAATAATGGTCTTTGAAAGAATTTAAAATGCATGAGTTAGTTGGAAATGTTAAGTTGCATGGTATATTATTCGAAAGAAATAAGGAGGAATAATGAGGATGGAGGATTGGAAAATAAAGCATTGAAAGTTAGATAGATAATGATGCATGTAAACTTGAAAATAATTGAGTAAAAATGGGAATGATTGTTGCTGCCATATATATGGTTAATATTATGAAAATATAAGATGGATTTGGATAAAAGTTGCTTGGAAAAGTTGAAATGGGCACTTAATGATATAAATAAATTGCCGGTACATATAATACAAAGAATTACGAAGGTAAAAGATATGAATTCCTTTAGTAAAAATATGTCAAAATGTATGTGAATATGCAAAGGTTAAGTGAGAAAGAATGGTAATTCTAGCATGATGTAAGTTATTAAAATGATGATTAATGTTTGGACGAGAAAGAAAAATAGAAATGATAAACACTAAGTATATTAAATTTGGTTTATTGCTAGAAAGTGTGCAAGTGGAAAAGAATTACTGTGGCAATTAACTAAAGAAGGAAACGTAACTGGATAAGGGGTGAAGCGATATCCCACCATTGTAAGGTGAGTAGGGGTTGTCTAGTCAAAAGATCTATACGTTATATATTGTTATACATTTAATAAACGTTTTCCAGTTTTCTTTAAATGCAATTGTGGATTGCATTAGTTGTAGAAAATGATAAGTGATTTGAATACATGATTTGGAACAATTATACACTATTTTTGTGGAAAGCATGAGCTGGCAAAATCCATAGGCAATTATGGCTATATAATGATTTCAAAGCTGTTGGCGTAAACTATATATATATATATACATACCTATATGTAAAGTGTTTCAGAAACTGGGAAACAAGGCTTTTGCACTATTTTGCATCAAAAATTCGTGCCTTGTATCTTTGTGTGACGTGTATAAATGATTTAAATGCAAACTTTTGAGAACCGATTTTAGCCCAATCTCTAAACAAGTATTTACACCATGCCTTTAATGTAAAAAACAATATGATAGGCTATCAAATCTTGTTTTCAAATGATTTAAGCAAAAGTCTCGAAAAACTCCGTTTGGTTTTGAAAATGATTTTGACAAACCGGGAGCGTCAAGAGTAGGTCAAATGTCCCATCGGGATAGTGTGACCTTTATGCATAAGTGAGCTCTAGCGAGAAAACCTTTAGGTCACCTACAAGTTGTTAGACGTGAATGGGGCTATGGTTTGTGATATATACGTGGAAAGGTCACGGAATGATATATGTGGCAAGGCCATAAGTTGATATTCGTGGTTACGACCACATGATTTCTCTTATATTGGCCAACATCATCGAGATTGCCATGGCTGTGGGAATCTGATGGAGCAAAGTTCCCAGATTGTTATTACGTGGAAGTGGGTCCATGGATTGATTAGTATTCTAGCCTACTCGAAAGCCTTGAGAGTTTTTAGACTTGTTCTCTTTTGGATGGTGGAGAGTTAATGTTTCCTGCAGGTCCTTTAATTGCTTGCAAGCTTTCAGTGTTTTATAAGATGATTTTGAGTTGATTTATGTAGATGTACATGTTAATTTTTACATGCCACACATTTGGGAGAATGCGTGCTTTTATGTGATTATTTCTGTTTTTGAGCGAAAAAAAGAGGATTTCGATGACTAAAATTTTGTTATGCTACATTTTATTTCAGCATTGTTTTGCCAAGGAAAGTATTGCATTATGATTTACAGCATCAGTTTTACGAGGCACAAGTATCCTACTTTTGATTTTGTTTCTTAAGCTTATGATTTGATATTCTGGTTTTATTATTTAACTTATCTACTTTAAGCTTGTTTCCCATCTACACCCTACTAACGGAGTCGATGATCACTGAGTCTGTGGGACTCACCCCCTTTATTTCCCTTTTGCAGATAGTGATCAGCCTAGCGTGTAGTGATTAGCATTTATTGACCATTATGGATAGGTAAAGGCATCTTTTAGCACTTTATTTAGAGTTGCTCTACTGTTAAAGGTCGAGTCAACTATAGCAAAAATTGATTATAAATAGTGTAAATGTTAATATGCATTGGGTACTATAGATTTAATGTATTCTTACGATTATGGCGAATAAAGGATAATATGGCTTATTACGATATATCTTCAATTCTTATTACGAAGAGTTATATGGTTCAAAGTGACTTCAGAGAATGATGGCCTGAATATGAAATAATAACTACATGTTCAATTAAGGCTTGTTCGAGACTTGGTGGGTTCTCTCACAAGACTCAAACGCCGATAGCGATTGAGGAACGGTTTTTACACAATAAAAGAATATTTTATTCTTCAAATCATTAAAATTATATTACAACTCCTCGACTTAAGTTCAACACTTAGATTATGTCACTTTATCCACCACTCATAATAGGAATATATCGATATTATTTTAATGATATTTTATGTAATAAAATATTAGTAACTTCAAAAGTTTTCCATTTGGCTTCCGAGGTTCTGAAACATTAGAATTTATCTCAATTTAGCTTCATCGCTCCTTTTTACTCCATTACGACGAACTTAATAAAATATTATTAACATATTATTATTTTATTACGTATAGAATTTTTTATTTTAAAATATTCCATTCCCCCTTCACCATTCTTAAACTCTTGAATTGACCTCTATTGGTCTTAATCTCGTTCTTATAGTCATATTAACCACCATTCTAAGTCACGGGGTGTTATAATCTCCCCACTTAAACAAATTTGTCCTCGAATTTAAATGGAGTGGGTTAATAAAGCATACCTTAGTCTTGGAAGAGGCACGGGTATTCCTTCTTCATTTCCTCTTCAAGTTCCCAGGTTGCATATTCCACTGATCGATTTTGCCATAAAATCTTCATTGAGGCAACTTCTTTAGAGCGTAATTGCTTCACTTGTCGATGTAGTATTGCTATTGGTTGTTCTTCAAAAGTTAATCCTTCATCCAGAGGAACTAAATCATAACATATAACATGTGTCAGATCATTAACATACTTAACATAGACACATGAAAAGTGGGATTCACACCAGCTAGCTCCATCAGTAAAGCTAATCGATTTGCTATTAACCTTATTCATTCCAAGATTCCAAAAGGTCCAATATATCTCGAGCTCAACTCCCTTTTCTTTTTGAATCTTTTACTTCGTTTCAGTGGCAGTACCTTTAAAAGTACAAAATCTCCGACTTGGAACTCTAAAGGACAATGTCTATTATTTGCATAAGACTTCTATCTACTCTGTGCCACTTTTAGATGCTCCTTCACTAGACTCACCACATTAGTTGGTTGTTGCACCAAATCGGGACCTAATAATTTCCTTTCTCCCACTTCAAACCATCCAATGGGTGATCTACACTTTCATTCGTATAACGCATCAAAAGGAGCCATTCCAATACTAGTTCGATAGCTATTATTATATGCGAATTCTGCCAAAGATATATGATGATTCAATGTGATTCCTAAATCCAGCACTATTGACTTTAGCATGTCTTCGAGCATTTGTATCACACGCTTTGACCAACCATCCGTTTAAGGATGATATGTAGTACTGAAATCTAAATGAGTGCCTAAAGCTTCATGTAAACTTCTCCTAAATTTATTAGTAAATTGAGGCCTTCTATCAGATACTATGGTCATGGGAACTCCATGCAACCGCACGACACAGTCAATGTAAACCTTGGCATACTTAGTTGACCCCTAACTAGTCTTTACCAGAATAAAGTGAGCAGATTTGGTTAACTAATCCACGATTACACAAATCGAATCATATTCCATGTTCAACCTTAACTTGTTGGCAAGTTAGGCACTTGGCCATATAGCCACATCTTTGTTCATTCATTTCCACCAATAAACTATTTTCAAATCGTGATACATCTTGGTAACTCTTGGATGTACAGTGTAGGCAGTAATGTGAGCTTTCTCTAAGATATCATTTCTTAAATTATCTCGATATGGCACATACGTCTGGGATTCATACTTCAACAATCCATCATTTCCATAAACAAATTGTTGATCTCACTCTTCAGATCCTAAGATTTTCATCACGAATAAGTCTTGATCTTGCGCAATGTGAATTTGATCCAAGATCATTGGTCATACTCGAAAACGAGCAATAAAAGCATTTAGGCCACCAATATCAATCGCCATCCCCATAGTCCCTAAGCTTTGCCATCCACGTAATATATTTCTTAATTCAATAGACAAATGTGTCAAACTTCCGATAGACTTATGACTTAAAGCATTAGCCACCACGTTCGCCTTACCAAGGTGATATTGAATGGTACAATCGTAAAGTTTGAGTGATTAAATCCATCGACATTGCCTTAAATTGACATCACATTATTGAAATATATACTTTAAACTCTTGTGATCATTATATATTTCAAATCTTTCCCCGTATAAGTAATGACGCCAAATCTTTAATGCAAATATTATCACTATCATTTCCAAGTCATGGGTAGGATAGTTTTGCTCATGCTTTTTGAGTAGCCTTGAAGCGTACGCAATAACTCTACTATTTTGCATCAACACGCATCCCAATCCAACTCTTGACTCATTGTAATACACAACATAACCTCCTAGACCTTTTGGTAAACTGAAGATTGGTGCCGAAATCAATCACACCTTTAGTCTTAAGAAACTATACTCACATTTAGGAATCCATTCAAACCTCCCACCCTTTCCTGTCAACTTAGTCAATAGTGCTGAAATTTTTGAGAAATCCTACACAAATCGACGGCAACACCCGATGAATCCAAGAAAACTTTGAACTCAGTAACCGTACTCGGCCTTAACCAAGTTTGAATTGATGCAACCTTTTACGGATCCACACTAATCCCTTCCTTCGATATTACATGTCCAAGGAAGTTAACACTCTCTAACCAAAAAGTACACTTAAGAGCTTTGCATATTTTTTGTGTTCTTGGTGTGTTTACAACACCATATGTAAATGCTATGCATGTTCTTTGGGGCTCCGAGAATACACTAGGATATCATCAATATACACCACCCTGAATTTATCTAAGTAGGCTTGAAACACTCTATTCATTAAATCTATAAAAGTGGCTGGAGCATTGGTTAAACCAAAGGATATCACCAAAAACTCAAAATGCCAATACCTTGTACGAAATGCGATCTTTGGTATATCTTCTTCTCGAATCCTTAACTAATGATACCTAAAGTGCAAGTCAATTTTTGAAAAATATCACACCCCTTGCAGTTGATCAAATAAATTATTGATCTTGGGAAATGGGTGTTTATTCTTAATAGTCACACTATTCAACTTTCGATAATCCACACAAAATCTCAAACTTCTATCCTTTTTCTTTACAAATAACATCAGAGCTCCCCATGGTGAAGTACTTGGATGAGTAAATCCTTTTCCCTTTAACTCTTGAAATTGTTCTCACAGTACTTGCATCTCCGCTGGTGCCATCTGATAAGGGACTTCGGATATTGGTTTCGTGCCAAGAATCAAATTAATGTAAAACTTAACTTCCCTTTCTGGGGACAACCCTAGCAATTCCTCCAAAAACACATCTTCAAATTCGTTAACTATTGGCACCATTTTAATATCTGGAACCTGTTCCTCCCTTAACGCATCTTCTTTAGTTGCTACACATGCTAAATAATTCTGTCCTATTTCCATCCTAGTGACTCCCACTAATATTCCCTTACTTTACGGGCACTTACGTCCATAAATAATAAAGGGGACTTCTCCAGGAAACTTAAATTCTACATATTTGTAGAGGCAATCGACATTCGTGTAACAACCGTACAATCAATCCATTCCTAATATTGCATCAAATCCCAACGTCATCAATAACTCCAAATCCACCAATGTCTCTTGATGGTTAATTTGAACTACACAAACTTATAGACAAACTTGGTATATAAATTTCTTTTATTCAATTTTAACACAAAATTCAAGGCAACCAAAAAAAAGGTAGCTTTAGAATCAAATAATACCAATGCTTCAAAACCACAAATTAAAAGTGTACATGTCACCACATCATTCGAAGTAGGCACATCTTATGGACCCATGGAAAATACGCTTGCTTGTTCTCTTCCAAAGGTACCATGTGGTACTGACTTAGTAGGCCTAGATCAAGAGGTAGAAGCTATTCCCTTAGATTTATTGAATCGACCTCACTTAGTTAAAGGTGAATTGCAAATGCTACTATAGATGCTGGTTGAACAAACCCATGACTAATTCCTTGCGATCTCCCTTCATAAGGGTAGTCCCTTCGCATATGTCCCATTTGACCATAATCAAAACATGCATCACATGACTGAGCACATGGTCCCACATGTATAGTACCACAACATACACAGTAAGGACTCCTCTAGCCCATCTGTGGATTGTTAGGGCAATCATTTCATTACTAGGCCCTTGACGATTATGTTATGTAGAAAAAATTTCCACGACAAGGTGGACTACTAAGCGAGGGATTTCTCCTCAACCTTTGAGAACTAGTTGACACCTAGCCCTCATTTTGAATAGTATCTCTTCAACCAGGTTGACTTTACCTTCTAAAAATCATTTCTTGACTAGTGTTCCTTTGAGTAGTCTATCTTTCAATCTTAGTATTTTTGGTCCATTCACCTAGTGCCCTAGCATCTATACTATGACCCTTTATTAGTCCAGCACAATCCACTGTGTTGGAATATGATTTAAATCACTGTGGAGCAATAGCTCTAAGTAAGTACTCGAATAGTCTAGCCATAAACTGATTCACTCTCATTTCTTCAAAAGATACAAGGTATGGGGTGTATCTAGACACTTGAGTGAATTGCACATCATATTTAGATACCGTCATCCCGGGTGTGTGTTTCAAGGCCTCAAACTCCCTTGCCTTAGCCACTTGCACACTATGAGGCATGAATCTATCCATAAAGGCTTTATCAAATTCCTTCCAACCAAGCGGACCAACATCACTAGGTCTACCCTATATGTATGACGTAATCCACAGCTGTGCTAGATCCTCAAGATGGAAACTAGTCAATGTTACAGACCTCATACTTGAAGCTCCTAAAGTGTGACAAATCCTTTCCATGGTGTCCAAAAATCTACGTGGGTCATCTTCGATAGTGGAACTAGTGAATGATGGAGGTTT